TCTCTCTCTCTCTCTCTGTCTTTCTGTCTCTCTGTCTCCCTCCCTCCCTCCCTCCCTCTCTTTCTCTCTCTCTATCTTATATATATATATATATAAAGAGAGAGAGAGAAAGAGAGGGAGGGAGACAGAAAGACAGAGAGAGAGAGAAGAGAGAGAGAGATATATATATATATATATATATATATATATATATATATATATATATATATATATATATATATATATATATATATATATATATATATATATATATATATATATATATATAAAAATTACCCTTTTATTTTAAAGATATAAATTTATCCTAAACACATGAGAGTATAACCATCAGTTATACAGTTCCCTTTATAAGTAATCATGTTAGCTTGTTAAGAAAGAACATAAATATAGGCTTGGTTACTGGAGGATCTGACAGGGGCTCTTGAGCAATAAGACTGTGGGCACAGTTCATTACACCCACCCTGGGTGTGAAACTGCAACATCAGAGGAGGTTGTATTGTAAGAGAAGCAACTAAACACAAAGACTGGAAATCTTAGTTGAGGGACAAGAAAAGGCACACACAAGATACAGCTGAACATTTCAACCGGTCTTTGTCAGTGGAGAAGCAGCAGACTTATAAACAACCAACAAGGTTAACTTGTCACTGAAAATGCACAGTAGATGAAATAAATAAGAAGGAAATGGTGTAGTGTATAGCAATTACATAAAGGTGAACATTGCTGAATAGTCATTCCTGAAGGGTTGAAAATCTTGTAACTGTGAATAAGATGAAGCAGCTAGTTCATCCTCAGAGCACGATTTTGTGGCAGTAACAGAGAGATTGATTTCACCTGGGTCGTCAGAACTATTAAAATGACATTTTAAGAGCTGCTTTGTAAATGTTATAAAAGTTCAGGAAAACAGTTTTCTGGATGCAAGCGTGACATGAGGTTAAATAAGAGTGGCATTGTCGGCAGGCTCTGTAAGGTGATGGTCACAATGTTGTTGAATGTTGAATCGACATTAGAGCACTTGGGACACCCCATCAAGCACTCCGTCCCAATCTTCAGCAGCAAATGAAGAGTTCCAATTCCAATGGCACCAGTAACTGTCTGATTGTATATCCGTCTCGCCCTTCCCTTGAGTGTTGAGCATCGGCCAGATCCCTTGGTAACTCCTTGCAGCGCCATTCTGCTCAGGACGTAATGAACTATTTGCGCTTCTGCACTGTTCACTCGCTCCCTGATGGCCTTCACAACGTCTAGCTTGTCATACATCGCACTAAGCCACGTCTATTCGCCTATGCTATAAACCCCCATACACTTCATCTGCCCCTCAACCCAGAGCCATCTGTACTGATAATCACATCACTTGGGCGGGAATTGTCATGAATCATTTATTGAACTTCTGATTCTGCAGCGCCAGTCCCTGCCTTCATGACCCAAAGTGATAAGAACCCTACATGTCTGAAACCTGATCGGACACTTTGACCCACTCCTCACCTGGCCACAAATTTATCAAGCCTGCACACATGTCGAATTGTGTCTTCAGCTTGCGCCATCCAAGACTTCCCTGTTTTCAGTCTGTGACCCTAAGCTCTACCCATGGCTTCATGCAGGAGGTGCCTCTTGACTGCAGCTACTCTGAGATATGACTTTGCTTGCAGAACTTTGGAGCCTATCTGCAATAGCAGGCAGTGCAATATATGTCATATACATACTACCTGGGTATCTCTTGTATATCCCAGAATCACCCGCATGGTTTCATTCTGTATGCGTTCAAGTTCAATCAGTTGACTGTTTGATATGGTAAGCATTCCAAGTCCATAATCTATTACCGACAGGATCACATGCTGGAACATTGTGAAAAGCATTTGGTGACAATAAGAATAGATTCTTGGTTGGTAATCTAATTAATAAAAAGAGCAAAAGGAAACAAAGATTAATTCCTGGAGTGACATGGCATAGGGAAGACAAGAACACATACCTGATCCATGGTTCTGGTGATAGTATGAGACAAGAACACATACCTGATTTGTGTTTCTAGTGATAGAGTGAGACAATATACCCAATCCATGGCTGTGGTGATAACGTGAGACAAGAACACGCCCGATCTGTGTTTCTGGTGAAAGTAGTTTGAACGTAGTCGACTTTTTGTGTGTGTGTATGTGTGGTTATATTGGAATTGAAATTCATCTTTTATCCTACTGCAGAGTTGTTTATTTGTTTGGATTATGTTTAATTTCATATGTTTATTGTGTTATCAAATGTGGTAATCACAGCTGCTTGTATTTTGTATATGCTCCACAGGCACTAAAATTGACCTTCGAGAAAATAAAGAAGCTATTGGAAGCCTCATAGCACAAGGTCTCAATCCTGTAAAAAGAGAACAGGGTATCAAACTGGCCAACAAAATCCGAGCTATCAAGTACATGGAGTGCTCAGCTCTAACCCAGAGGGGTCTGAAACAGGTATGTCATCCTTCTTTCAGTAGGTTAATCAAACCTAGGTCGTCCTGGTAGACTGTCTGTTTGGTATTTGATTATGTTTACTAAACATTAGGGTTTCTTCTGACATCTAAAAAATGTTAGTTGCTTATCCGTTACTGTCCATTGCAGAACCAACTCCAGCATTTTTTGGCTTTTGTGGTTTTTCTAGGCAAACATTATGTTCAATAGTTTGCCATTGCTGTCTGAATGACATCTAAAGGTACTCTCTAAAACTTCATCATTACAGAACTGTACGTAATTGAAATGTCCTGAGCCACAGTTTTTGGTCTCTTGTACAGAAAGGGTTATCACCCCCCACCCCCGGCATGTACTTGTATTTACTGACTTGAAGTCTTTGGGTATTGGCCACTGCACCTGTATAACAGCTTTGGTACTCTCTGTAAACTGCATACTGTGTAGAGGTGGTGGGTGTGATTATATACGCCATGTACGAAAATATAAGATTTGGGTGGGGGTGTCACATTTTGTAATTGGGATGTTGAAATAATATCACCATGATTACATCACTTTGCTGGACATTTGTCAGGTCAACCAAACTGTTTATTATGGTCTAAGGCAAGGAAAGCAGCTATTTGCTACATGTGATTATTTCCCTTCATGTTAAAAAAAAAGTCTGTTTTTAGCGACTTGGACCATGCGATGAGCTGATAGCCTTCCTATTCTCCTGTCTGCTCTAGGGGTTCAACCCCTGATCTTGTATGATAACTAATCAAGACTCCAGATTTTTTCTGCTTCTTCTCTTCCCCAAGATTCTTAGGCTAAAGTTTCAGACACTTATAAGGATACTTATTCTTTTAGCAGAATTTGGGAAACAATAACATGTTAAGATTTGTACAGAGGCCAGAGAAATAGGCACACAAAAATTGCTTTCACTTGAGTGTTATGTCATTAGGGATCTGGTGGTTGTGTTGCAAGCATCATTTTAACCAGAGCTGACAACTGGTAGCAGATTTAACATGAGCTGTTCTGTGTCTATTCCACAGGTATTTGATGAAGCTGTACGTGCTGTTCTCCAGCCACAACCAGTGAAGAAGAAGCAGCACAAGTGTGCAATGCTGTGATGTGGTCTTTGCTGTATGTGTGTGAGACAGCTTGTAGTGTTTGGTGATGTGATGACCATGCTGTGTGATTGTAAGGGTGTGTGAGACAGCTTGTAGTGTTTGGTGATGTGGCGACCATGCTGTGTGATTGTAAGGGTGTTTGAGACAGCTTGTAGTGTGTGGTGATGTGACGACCATGCTGTGTGATTGTAAGGGTGTTAACTACAGCTTGTAGTGTTTAGTGATGTGATTGCCAGTCTGTATGTGTGTGTGTGCTACAACTTGTGTTGTGTGACGATGATTGCACTGAATGACTGTGTGGATGTTTGTGTCAGCTGGTAATGTGTGGTGACTGCCTGTTTCTGTGTATTTGAGAATGCTTATTTCAACCTGTCATGTTGGTAGTGAATGAAACAGCGAGTACAGCTGTGTTTCTGGTTTCATTTAAAATGCTTGTACATTATTGCTGAACTCCTTGTTAATGACAAGAAATATGAAACGTTCATTATAATCAGTGTATGGAGTTCTGCTTTCTTGTTGTGACAATCTCATATTTGCTGTCTGCCGTGTCTCTGTTGACACCAGTTCCCACAGATTTCTATGTGCAATGTTTATTTTTATTTTTTTTAGTCAAGTTCTATTGTATTTATTCACATGAATTTACAAAACTGGATTATCTTTTTTTGGGTGTGGAATCTTTAACTTTATGAACAAGAAGATTTCTTTTATACCACATTTGTGTGAACTTTTTAAAAAATCCGTTTTTATAAAATGCATACGGAAGTTATTGTCAAATAAAACTATTGCAGCTTTCTATCACTCCTATGAAGCATGCATAACATTTTAGATTTTAAAGCGTACTTACAGTAAAGTTGGGGCAAACTGTTGATAAATGAATCTTCCAGTTGTCAAGATTCACCGGGTTTTTATGCATTTAAAAATAATCAGTTTTTGACTTCTAAATTTGGTATATTACTTACTTTACTTAGTCGCTCCTCTTCTATCTTGGGGGTAGAGGTTTGCCAGAGAGATTGCCAGACGTCTCTATCAGCAGTTTTCTTTCTGGCTTTGTTCCATTCCAGTTCTCTGTCAGTTAGGGACTGTCGGATGTTGTCTTCCCAGCGGACTCTAGGCCGCCCTTGAGGTCTGGTTCCCTGGTTCTTAGCCTCCTCATGCCTGCCATGGTGGCCGATTTTCTCCAATTCTGCATTCATATCCAAACCATCATAACTGTAACTGATCCACTCGGGTTAGTAAAGACTGGGTATCAAGATCTTGACGTATTGTCTGATTGTGAACTTTGTCCCTTCTTGTCACTTGGACCACCTTTCTCAGATATTTCATTTCCGAGGCTTGCAGCTATCTTCTGTAAACTGTTGTCATTGCCCATGACTCACACCCATAGGTCAGGACTGGTACATAGGTAGAGCGGTAAACAGTCATTTTCGTCCTCTTGCCAATTTCTCTTTTGCTAAGAAACCCTTGGTTTATAGCCTGGAAGAGTCTTCCAGCAGCTGCTTTTCGTGTAGCCAGCTCAGTCAGTCTTAATGCCTCCGTTTCGGTATAATACAACTCCAAGGTATTTGAACTGGTTAACCTGCTCCACTGCATACTGTCCCATCATGATCTGGTGTTTCTTCTCCTCTCTTGAGATCACCATCATTTTAGTTTTGGAGATACTGATGGTCATCCCTCTCTTTTCAAGCTCTTCCTTCCAGACAAGTAAGTTGGACTGAAGGTGTGCCTCTGATTTAGCAATCAGGGCCACATCGTCTGCAAATGCCAGCTCTGATATACAGATTGGTCTCATCTTCCAGTACCCTACTGAGTACTTCTTTGTCTTCTCCTTACAGGTCTTGATGACATCATCCATCATAAGAATGAAGTAAGGTGAGAGAATATCACCTTGTCTAACACCGCTGGTGGTCTTAAATTCTTCTGACTTTTGGTCTGCCGTTCTTACATAATTTCTGCAGCTTTTGTAGAAATCTGTATTGCACTGATCAGGGGTGCTGGGATGTTTTTCCCTGCCAAGCAGTCCCAGAGCTTGTTCCAGGGTACCTTGTCAAATGCCTTTTCCAGATCCCAAAAACATAGGTGAATCTCACTCTTATATTCAAGGGCTTTTTCACTCATCTGTCTCAGTGTGAAGATAAGGTCTTGAGTACTTAGGTTTATCTGAAGCCGCATTGGGGCTCGTCCAGCTGTGGCTCTACCAGACTTCTAAGTCTGCTCGAGAATTCTAGAGTAACTTTTCCCAGGAACGCTGAGAAGGGATATGCCTCTGTGGTTTTCACATTGTCTGTTATCACCTTTTTAATAAATTTGGTATATCCCATCTAGAATTGTTGATAAGAGAAGAATTATTGATAAGACTCAGAGGTTATGTTGGAAACTTATTCACTGGTTATACTAGGGGACTGACCGACTACTCAGACTAGGAGACTAACCCACTAGTTATAAAATTAGAAACAGATCAACATCATGGCACAAGGGTAGTAACCCATAAGCTCTTCGTTCTATTTCTGACTCAAACCTGAGTCCAAAGAATCTCAGCACAGTGCACGAACTCTGTTCTGCACTGATTAGAATAGGAGACTGATCTACTGGTTATACTAGGAGATGGACCCACTGTTAATAAGCCATCATAGATGTCTGTTGTTACAACAGTGCTAACTCTACTTTCCTCTCTATGTGATTTATTTCATTATCAGCTGCTTTAATTCGTTTGTTGGTGGATACACTTTGAGCATATATTCTGTCCATAAAAACCACCGTGTCACATGCCAGTGTTGAAATTACAGTTTATAATAATTTGTCAATGAGAATGACAACCTCAGGTGAAATAGTGTGCATGTATATCTATTGTATTACCTGAACCCATAAGTCATGGAAGTGTCTGCTGCCTAGTGCAGTCACCTGTGGGCCTGATTCTACAGGGTTCAAACCTCAGGGTGTGGTCTTTTGTCTGAATGTTCAGTTGAGTCTGATACCTGGAGTATTTCTGGGTGTATAAAGGCATAGAATGCAAGAGGTTAGGGCAGCCGGAATGAACACATAGAGTGCACTGGATAAGGGCAACCAACATAAACCCATAGAGCACATCCCTTGATGTCATAGAAGCATAAACCCATTGAGCACATCCCTTGATGTCATAGAAGCATACACCCATTGAGCACATCCCTTGATGTCATAGAGGCATAAACCCATAGAGAAAATCCCTTGATGTCATAGAAGCATAAAGCCACAGAGTACATAAATCCATTGATGTCATAGAAGCATAAACCTGTAGAGCATATCCCTTGATGTCATAGAAGCATAAACCTGTAGAGCATATCCCTTGATGTCATTGAAGCATAAACCCATAGAGCATATCCCTTGATGTCATAGCATATAAGCCATAAAGGCATGATCCTGTCATAGAGCATATCCCTTGTCATAGAAGCATAAACTGTCATGAGTCATAGAGGCATATTGGCATAATCCCTTGATGTCATGAGCGCATCCCTTGATGTCATAGAAGCATAAACCTGTAGAGCATCATCCCTTGATGCATAGAAGCATAAGCATCCCTTGATTAGAGCATAAACCCGTAGAGCATATCCCTTGATGTCATAGAAGCATAAACCTGTAGAGCATATCCCTTGATGTCATAGAAGCATAAACCCATAGAGCATATCCCTTGATGTCATAGAAGCATAAACCTGTAGAGCATATCCCTTGATGTCATAGAAGCATAAACCTGTAGAGCATATCCCTTGATGTCATAGAAGCATAAAACCTGAAGAGTCCATATCCCTGTGATGTCCATAGATCAGAACCCGTGTGAGCATATCCCTTGATGTCATAGAAGCATAAACCTGTAGAGCACATACATCCCTTAATGTCATAGAAGCATAAACCCATTGTGCACATCCCTTGATGTCATGGAAGCATAAACCCATAGAGCATATACCTTGATGTCATAGAAGCATAAACCCATAGGTTTATTACATTACTTGATGTCATAGAAGCATAAACCTACAGAGAACATCCCTTGATGTCATAGAAGCATAACATTACAAAGCCTGACCTCTTCTTCATGAATACAATCTCCAACTTGGCAAATGCTTCTTGTAGGTGGGGTAAGTCTTTCATTAGGTTATGTAGATTCCCTATCATGTATGTATTTGTACTAATTCTGATTTGTGGACCACAAATTTGACTGGCTTGTTACTGTACAGTTACAAATACCAGCGATGAAGTTGTTACTTTATGCTCTTTTAATGTGTGTTTTTGTAGAAATTAATGTACTTGTGTAATGTTATATGTGTTATTAATGTTATTCTGTTATGTTCAACGGACTAGCAAAGTCTAGGTGACAATTGCCTGTGTTCAACAGACTAGCAAAGTCTGGGCAGAATTTCTCAATTCTCTCAACATAATAGTGATGTCTGGGCTGCATGTGATCCAACATGGAAACAAGAATATGTGGAAATGTGGTTGGGTTTGAGATGAAGCATGGTTGAGTATTCATAACTCTCAGACAGCCAGTACTGAAACAAGAATCTGGTGGAATGTGGTTTTGGGTTTGAGATGAAGCATGGTTGAGTATTCATAACTCTCAGACAGCCAGTACTGAAACAAGAATATGTGGAAATGTGGTTGGGTTTGAGATGAAGCATGGTTGAGTATTCATAACTCTCAGACAGCCAGTACTGAAACAAGAATATGTGGAAATGTGGTTGGGTTTGAGATGAAGCATGGTTGAGTATTCATAACTCTCAGACAGCCAGTACTGAAACAAGAATATGTGGAAATGTGGTTGGGTTTGAGATGAAGCATGGTTGAGTATTCATAACTCTCAGACAGCCAGTACTGAAACAACAACAGCAAATCTTGTGCCTGCTCTTTTACAAAGGGAGTCTGTTCTGTATTTATGTCATTATTCATGCGTTGGAAATACTAGATATATTATTCTTACAAGTTAACATGACCAGCAGAAAGATTGTTGTAGGGCACTGATTATTGTTAGTGATATC